AGCGCGCCCGCTCCAGCAGCTACTGCGACCCCGCTGCGGATGCAGTTTGGACTGCGTCGACGAACCAATCTGGCTCGCCAGGCACCGACGCAGCCGAGCTGACTGAGGCCTCCAAACCACCGAAGGGAGACCTTTCGACGAGTGATGCTGTTCCTCGGCGCACCTGGTCCCGCAGCGATCCCTCCGACGACCGCCTTCTGCTGGGCTTTGCAACTACCGCGGCTGAATACCTTAGCGGACAAGTCCTCATATCAACCACACCGCCACCTCGGGTGACGCCATTGCTGGAGAACTATGCTATGCAGTCCTGGTACGACTCCCATGACCTTGGCAACCTTGTTACCTACTTGGTCTGATGTCTTGCTGCTAGCCTTCCGGTAATCTGTATATGGGACGGTTAGCTCGTACTTAAGTGCCTCTTGATGACATATTTTCATTGGTCGGCCCATTGGAGGAGACTTCTAGTCCGGTAAGGTCACAGAAAAGTTAAATAGTCTTGTGGATTGGTGGACCTGGTCCCCGATTAAATCTTTTCCTCCACTGTACTGCGTCATGGCTAATGATTCGGTTGCATCGTGGGTTAGTTTGAGTCAGTCGAGTAGCCCAGTCTGTACTGCGAAGTGGGGAGAAGGTTGTTTCTTTCATTAGTCGGGTCAGACCAGTTGGTTGTAGGGCTCATTTTTGTTGTAAACAAGTGCCGTTGCTTTGGCTATATGTGGTGGTAATTTGCCCTTCTAGAAAGACTAGAAAAGTACTCTTGTGCACTTCTTCCTAGGAAATCTAATTGACTGTGCATAGAGCCCGAAATGTTTTGAAGAGATATGTATACTACTTAGGTGAACGCGCTTCTCACGGTTAAGGTTGGCACGGGTGGCTGAGATGCTTTTCAACTGAAGGCCAGCATTGTATTTGTTAGTAGTCTTTCTTCACCTTGAGTCCTTCCTTCTGTCGGTAGGCCAACTTTGAGTCCTGTCAAGGTTCCACATACTTCGACGCACATTTTGACTTCTACTTATTTCTACTTGGCACAGCCGTGATCATGTCTGACCCAGTCAACTCCTATGACGTCACTAATCGTCCCACTTCACGCGCGACGATTTGCAACATTGGGTCTGGACAGCTAAATCCATTCCCTCCTCCAACGACGTGGACCGAATACGGAAGGTCCAAGAGCCACTTCCATGTCATGTCAAACCAGGTTTTAATTTTAACGCCTTCCGGTTGGCAACGATGCCAGGTTGAGCTCAGTAACACTGAGCTCACTAGGCAGACGACGAAGAATGTGCCCAGGTCACCGCCTTTATCGTCCTTCTTTAGTGACCTGAGTTATCCTCGCGACTGTCTCATCCGAGACCGAGTCAGTGTATTTCTTTCGCGGGAGGGCTCTTACACAGCGTCAGCCAATCACCTCTAGTCTTCACCCATCTTCCGGGCGTTTGCCGGTACACTCGGACCTTTGTGACGATGGCGATGTCTTGTTGTCGAATCCATAGAAGGCTTCTGATGATTATGAAAACCCTGAAACCAGCGCCGATTAGGAGGCTGGTATCCATATTTTGTTCATTTGACAGCAGCCTCGCCCAGATGCATTTTGAACTCTGCTTTTTCGAGTTTACAGCAATTAATCTCTAGGGTCCTTTCTTTTGGTCAGTAACGCAGTTCGAAAGGGCTTTGTCCATCTCAACACTCACAAGTTAATTGACCAATCTAGTGACTTCATTCACTCGCGACACCGCACTCCGTAGGTCACCAGAGCTTGAGGCCTGCGTAGTCGAAATCACTCGGGTTGAATACATTAGGACTTAAAGTTTTCGGAATTCTGAATGTTGCAAACGATTTCGGCCAGTGTTTAATACGGTATTGATTGTTTCCGGATGCGTGGTCCATCCTGTTGTCTGGAGACGAAACAGTTCTCTTTCCGGAATTCTGAACCACGTGTCCGTTCCCTGCCTCTGTTCTGTGCACTCCTAGTCCCGCTCGAAGACTAGGTAGGCTCCACCGTCTTTTCACCTATGTGGCCGCTGCTCAGGTCCTTTGCCAAACTGTCAACTCTTTCCGGACGCTTGTTAGGCATTTGAATTACCACAGTCGCAGAGACCGTCGCGCCCCTCTTTCTTGCGATTACTCTTCTGAGGAGAAAGAGGTGCTCACCTGATCACGGGACGTGTTTGGCTGACGTTTCGAAGAGCTGGGGCGGCTCTCCATTGTCAAAGCGTCTTGTGAATGGAGAGCCGCCCCGGCTCTTCGAAACGTTAGCCAACCAAGTCACGTGATCCGGTGAGCACTTCATTTTCCTCTGACTATCAACCCGGATCTCTTACTTTTTCTAACCTGAGATTACTCTTCTCTTTTTCATCCCCAGGCTAATGTCCGAGAAGCACCTACTGCACTTCACTCACTTTGTGGGCTCCTACGTAGAACTGCTCTCCTCCTGGGGCCTGATTCACTGCCGTACGCGACTCTCCCTGCAATGGCACAAGATCCTTCTCTGGATGAGCGCTCGTGCCAGACCCGACTTCTACTCCCGCCTACTCCTGCCCCCCGTCTCCGCTGCAGACACGAAAGAGACGACTGCACGTCGTCTCCTCATCAGCCCTCTAGAGTGGACGCACGGAAGCCCGCCCAAGGCCATCTACTCCTGGACGAGCCTGCAACTCACAGCGGTCTCCATCCTCTATCCTCCCGACCTGGCGGCTACCGCTGTAGACAGCGCGGGGGAGTCGCCGGCTCAAGAACACGCTCGCCTTCTGCCCGCTGGGCTGGATCCCGCGGAAGAGGGTGTGGAATGGGAGCAGCTACCGCCTCCGCAGAGGGAAGCGGACCCCTCAGCCGAGCGCACCACAGCTGCCGTTTTGCTGCGCTGTGCCATCTGTCGGGTGGTTGTCCGTGGCATCGTCATCCTCTGTCCCCTCTGTCATCACGGGGGCCACTTTGATCACATGTTCCAGTGGTATGCACATTGCCTGGCCGGCAATCGCAAGTTCATCTGCCCGCATGTGAACTGTGATTGTGCTTGTGCCGCGCTGGGCAGTACTCTGGGCAAGCACTCCTCTCTGCGACCCGACATGACCTCCCTGCGTCAGTTTCGAGTTCATAGGGACTCTGTGTAGTCCGACTCAATGTGGTCGATCTGGCGGTTATCTCACCCCCCCCCCACCCTCAGTGATCTGCCCTTTTTAGACAATCTCGGCTTATAACTCTTCTGCCGTTTTGTGAGGCGCCTTCTGTTGACTCGTGAACACTCCGCGCTCCGATAACCCAGTCAGTTACCTTGTCTCAATGCTAGTCAGTTGTTTAAAATGCACTTACATGCCCGCTGATGTTGCGAGATTGTCATCTATTGGACAGCCTTCTGATTGGTCGCCAACGCTGCATGACAGGTTGCGGTTGTGTCCTTAAAATTCTTCTCTTTTTCTCACGAAATATATGACCTAGCTTGCTGGCAAACGACAGATAGAGTATTTTTTCTTAATATTGCCAGAATTTTCGACGAAAACGTCTCACGCCAAAAGTGTGGCGTTTCTCGCTTAACAACTGGTCATTGCTGTGCCACGGCAAAATGGGATCACCTGTAGTCGGGATATGTCCGAGCCTGAGTACTGCCTGTAGGCCGTGGTCCTGTGGTCCAAATGGTAGAGCGCCTGACCCAATGGTTCACAATAGCTAACTTATATAATATAAAGTCTGATGACAAATAAATTTAAAATGCCAATTTTGGTCTCCCTTGTATCTGTCCTCCAGTATCCATTATTGTTTGTCAACAGTGGCGGTTAGTGCACAGAGTAGCTATTTATAAGTTGACTCGAACGTGGCTTGCCAACCAGATCGGATGTTTCGACTGGGAAAAGTTGCCGGCAGGCCGATACACTCGTGGCAACCGATAAGGGTATCACAGGCGACGAAATGGGTGTATTGTTCAGATTGGCAAAGTTGGGAGATCCGGACTGATTATTTGAAGTAGTAGTAGTAGTAGTAGTAGTAGTAGTAGTAGTAGTAGTAGTAGTAGTAGTAGTAGTAGTAGTAGTAGTAGTAGTA